AAATTCTCTGTGCCTCAGTTTCCTCCTGTGTAAAGTGAAGAGCGTAATGACACTTCTCACCTAAGGTTGCCGTCAGGGGTAAATCAGTTATCACGCCAAAGTGTTTAGAACAGCCCCTCCATGAATGTTAGTTTCCATTATGCTGACAACTTTTTGTTGGAAGGAAGAAAATAAACAGCTTCTTTTGAACATATTTTCTTTTTTAAAAGTTTCATTTGCGAAGAGAAAGGTAATGGAGATGAGACAAAAAGGAAAAGATGTCTAGGAAATAGCAACTATTATCTATTTAGTAGCATGTGTGTAAAAGACATTGTAATACTTTATCTCATCTGCTTGTTATAACAACTCTTTGAGGTAGGTGTTATTATTAGTCATCTCCAGATGAGGCAGCTCAGCTTAGAGCTTCATGATGTGCCCATGATTACACAGGAGATTTGAGCCCTAGTCTATCTGACTGTAAGCTGCATACTTTGCCCTCCGTAATAAACTACCAGGCTGGGAAAAATAAGGAGAAGGAGGGGGTAAGGTGAGAGAAATAAACTAATGGAGAGAAGCAGACCAAAGTACCATATACATTTTCAGCCATGAGCTGCAACTAGAGGGAAAACATAAACACTTAATGTCAAGATTGTAATGATAAAACGTGACATCATTCTCACCACTGATGAAAACTAGCATTACTAGTAGCTTGGAACATTTTGTAAACACACTTATATTAGTGTATCAAGTTAAACATTCACCAAAATGCTACTGGTTGGGCATTAAAACGTAGAGATAAATCCAAGCTAATCCCCAAACACCCCACAAAGTTGTGTGCAAAATGTCAGGGTCAGTACCCCAGAACAAGTAGAAGTTCATCATTGTTAATGTTTATGCCACAGAAACACCTCTTTATTTAAAAGCCATATGACGGTTTTCAATTTAGCATACATATTACTTTTCAAAACTCTACCAAATGAAATGCCCAAATTGTTCTGTAATTACACGATAGTTACTGCCTTGTGACTGCACAGACTCCATGAATCCCAACCGTCTTCCCACACAGAACAGCAGGCTCTCCAAAAGACAAACTTAATGTATCTTTTGGGTCAAATGTTTTTCCTTGTGCCCTGCTCCATTTTCCATCATCGTGTTACTTGCCACTGCCCCCCTTAATCATAGGCTTGGGAAGGGGGATGAGGTCAGCCTTCCCTCTACTGCTAAGGCCACTATTCACGGCTCCACTGAATTAAAGAGAACCCACTCAAGCGCACTGCCGCATGTTACAATGCCAACCTGTCCCCTTCATCTCAGCACAGCAGTGATCCCCATTAACCCAGTGCTGGTTTTAATTACAACACAAGGATTATCTCAGTTCCTTATCACAGAACTGTGATATCTGAAGGAAAACAATTAGTTTGGTGGGGTTTGAGATCAGATAGGTAAATGTGACAAGTTTTCCTTTTTGCCGGTACAAAATATCTCTAAAATATAAACTTTCCTTAATTCAACTGAATCCAAATAAACTTGATACTGAGATAACTGCACTCAACCTCTGAAAAAAGTTTTCAGGTCAATTTGTTGGCACTCAGTGCAGATCTGGTCCAGAACTTTAGGTGAGGGGAAAAAAAAAATCACACCACTGGGAAATCTGAATATGATCATCGAACCAGGGTCTCAATTACTCATACAGGAAAGAAGTCTTATCAGATGCTCCTCCAGCCATCGTTAGAAGTAAGCAGATGAATGAGAAGAGAGAGTCTGCACAGAGTTACTAAAATAAGATGAAATGGAAGCTGGCAGCCCAGTCTCTATACCCAACGTGGTTCTGTTTTATGAAGTTCTGGCCATTTTTGACACTGACCATTTTTGACCTCAGCATGTGCTAGCCTTGCAGAGTGGAGACTAGCCAGTTTGGCATCTCGGAATGTTGAGGAGAGCTTGGGACCGAGAGACTAGAGTAAGTCATTGGCAGAAGCCCCTCAAAACTGCAGCATCCTAAACTGAGGTACTGCCTCTCCTGGAGGGTTATAACCCATCACCTTCCCCGCAAATACTCCTCTAGCACTAGTCATGAAGTCAGCAGCTCCAGGGTACAGTGCAATGAGTTTGGAGATTTGCAAAACTTAGACCTGCCACTCACTTTATCTCCCCTGATAGGAAGCTCTGGTTAATGTTCCAGTACCTTTTTATTTTCCATGCTTCTCCCTCTTTCTGGAACCCTCCTTCCTTCCCAGGTTTTTGTGGATTCCTATTTGTCCTTCAAAACTGAGTTCAAACTAAGTGTCAACTCTCCTCAAAAAAACTTTCATGACCACACAACTGCCCCAATCTGATTTATATAGAAGTCTTTTGTCACTCTCCCAAATGCTATAAATGCCATTCAGATCACCTTACACTGCCTAGTTTTAGAAAGCCATACTTATCTGTGAGGAGCCACATCTTATTCAACCTTTTCCAGCCTGAACCTGGCATAGTGCCTGATTCTCACAAAAGAAGGTCATTACTTGCACAACCTCTCTGTGCCTCAGTTTTCTCATCTGTAAAAGGGTGTAAATAATAAGACATAACTGATAGGGTTATTGTGAAGAGGAAACCAGAAAATGAATGTAGCGTGCTTAGAAGAACTGTGAGCTCTTATTATTAAATATTTGTAAAATTAACAAGTAAATATAATCTTCAGTAAGTTAGTTACTTTAGACACGATATCTTCTATGAAATGGAGATAATCTTGTTTCTTTATAGGATGGTAGTTAAGATCAAATGAGATAACTAGTTGATGAAAGTACTTTGAAAGCTGTAAAGGACTATTTAAAAACTGGCATTTTATTATTATTACCTAATAAATTATATAAGATTTCTAAGCCAGAACTCAAAGAAGAGTCTTTAGTGGCTGGTTAATGTAGGGGTTGCCCAAGGCCTTACCCAAGCCTTGGGTTTCTTCCTTCACTTTCCAACACAGACCATAAAGGTACAGTCACATGGACCATGAATAAGGGTAAGGGAAAAGAGATCCCTAAGGTCTAAGCAGAATTGAGAATACTACCCATCTAAAGAGAACACCAACATCCATAGAATCTGGAACATCCAGGGAACTCAGGATGTACAATCATTGCTGAGTGATTCTGATCATATCACAAAATCTATGAAATTCAAGAGCTGGAAAGGAGTTTTGAAATCACTTGTTCCTATTCCCTTATTTTACTGATGAGAAAACTGAGGTCTGTGGATCCGAAGCAACTGGCCCCAAACTACATGTCAAGCTAGTGACAAAACAACTCAAGTCTCCTTATTTGTAGCTTTATATACATTTTGCTTATACTGTATCATGTTCCCTTTATCCTTTCTGGGGTGGTCTTTAGAAACAAACCTGTGTTCAAATTTCAGTTTAACCATTTATTAATTCTGTGACTGAGTTATTGAACTGATCCAAGCCTCAATTTCTTCGTTTGTAAAATAAGGATGATAGTATCTTTTAAAAGTTTACTATATGATAAAAGGGGTAATGTCTGTACATCAGGTAGCAAAACCTGTGCCTGGTACTCACTTCCCCCCTCACTAATTTCCTATAGCAACTATTGTGATGTTCTTTAAAACTGAACAATGCATAAAGACCAAGACTATATTGTAATGCATCTCTTTTGAAGAAAGCATCTAAGAACTGACATTTGTAAAATTTTCTTTTGGTGTTGAAATGGTTAAAAAAAATCCTTCTGGTTTAAAATCTGACTGCACCAACGTTCCTACTTTCCACATAACATGCCCTTCTCCGTGGCAAACGTCACGTATAACAGAGTATATAGTAAAGCAGTGTATAGCACAGTGCTGCACTATATCTCATGTTTGCTTTCTCACCTCTGCACCTTTCCCACCAGGTACCATTAGGCTGCCAGCTCCAGCTACTGCTTTATCCTTCCTTTTCCCTTTATGCCCAGCTGTGGCTTTAAGGATGTCTTGTCTGTGGACAGCTCCCTTTATCAACACAAGACAGAAATTGCTCCTGAGTGACCTGGGCTCTGTCTTCCTCAAGAGACCAGAGGCCTCTTGTCCATGTATCTGGTGGCCTATCTCCCCTGGCCAGTGCCCACGTCCTCCTCCACAGGCCCCTTAGCGGCTCACCTGGCCACCAACTTCTCACCATCTGATACCTGCTTTTATAAAAAGATGTGGAGACAGGACCAAGTGGGAAAGTTGAAGTGGGCAGCCACCTCCACAGCAAGCACAGGGCCTAGGCCCGGGTCTCTACCCTAAGTGCAACAAAACTTAGCTGTTTGCCTTCCCGGGGCGCCTCGGTCCCCAGGACGCCGGCACCCCAAGGCACCCCGCGCGGTTTGCATCTGCGGCGGGGTCCCGGGAGGATGCAGGGCCGGGACAGCCTGGAGCGCTCAGAGGAGACAGGACCCACGGTGGTGACGTAGTTAGGAAGACACAGCTGGCCCCAACTAGCCTCAAACTCTGGGTCCTGATCCCTTCTACCCTTCCTCCCCACACCCAGGGAGAACCTTGAGCCGCTTTTCCAGCCTCTGAGTTGGGAGCAGGAACCTGGCACCAGGAAGCCAGGACAGCGCACTCCAGCCACTCCGGAGGGCCCTCCCCCCCGGGCCCCCAGGCGCAGTTTCGGTCCATGTCGCGTCCGCACGAGTAGGCGGCAACGGGCAACCTTATTCCCGCACTCCGGGGCGAGGGATATGAGGTGGGGGAAAAGGAATCTTCGCGAGTGTTAAGGGGGCAGAAGGTAGCACTCCTGCGGGGTCTCCCCAGTCCTGTTCGGGAGAGCGACGAGGTCACCCCGCTCCATACTGTCCCCACGGGAGCTCGGGGCGGGCTGCTTATCCTGGTTAGCAGCCGGTGCGCACGCAGACGCGCGCGTCCTTCCCCACCCCGACCGCTGATCCGCCCAGGACCCACGCCGGCTGTGAGGGGTGTGCGCACCTCGTCTCCGCGTGCCCCGAGCGGCCCCCTCTCCCCTCAGCGACACTTCGGGCGCCGCCCCCGCCGCCGGCCCGGCGCAGCCAGCTCACCAGATGGCCATCCTGCTCTTGGGGTAGTCTAGCCGCTCCAGGCAGCCGAGGAAGTGAGGCAGCGTGTGCGCAGCGTTACGCGCGAGGACGGCCACCATCACCGTGGGTCTCTGCAGGGGGGACTCGGAGAATACTACCGCCTCCCCTTCGTCGTCTTCGGAGTCCGGCTGGGCAGCGAAGCGCGCCCGGCAGCCGCCGCGGAGCAGAGCCCACGAGAGGAGTAGCAGCGCCCAGGCCAGGGGGGCAGCGGGGCTTGCGGCCATGTTCAGGGCCGTGGCGGGCGGCTGGACCACCGGCCGTGGATGCCCGAGGCCGGCAGCGAGGGGCGGAGGGGAGGCGGCTGGTGCGCGCGCACTGGCAAAACCTCGGCTGCCCGGGACCCTCCCGCCGCCGCCGCCGCCGCCGCCGCCGCCGCAGCTGCACTGCTCAGGCCCTGCCGCGGGGGCCCGGAGTACCTGCCGCCGCCGGCGCTCGTCTGGGACTCAGGCTCTCAGACAGTCGTGTCGGTGCGGCTGTTTGTCCCGAGTCCCGCGGAAAGTTCCTTTAGTCCAGGCTCAGCTTGTACAGCTGAGGTCTGTGGCTTCCCCCAGAGCCGTGAGGTGTGGCCGTGTCTGCCAATGGGCGTGTGAATGCGTGTGTGTGTGTGTGTGTGCGCGCGCGCGCGCGCGCGAGCGTGTGTACATAACGGTACGACTCCAAGAAAATTTATTCTGCTTTTGCAAACCGCAGTCTAAAGTCCTTCACAGTGATGCAATGTATCCAGTTTTTCATAATGCACTTATTGACTAAATGGGTAGAGCTCTAAAATGGAAAGTCACCTAATGATTCACTACTAGGATAAACAGTTTTTTAACTTCCACAAAGGCAGAATGTTTGCATTTCCTCACACTCAAGTGCTCTTTAAATTCATTCTTGACTGAGTAGACCCCCAATAAGATCAAGTTGGAAGACTTGGAGAATTTTAGAGCCAGATCGAACCCTTGAAATTAAAGAAAGCCCCTTGGGGGCCAGGTCCTCTACCTGCCAACTCAGGGTCCTCAGCTTCCTGACAGGGTGGCATGTTAAGGAGATTCGCTTAGATGGTTTTCTTTCTCCTTAATGACCCAAACTGACAAAGAGAGGGAAAATCTGTACATGCTGGAGGAGAAGTATAAGGAAGAAGGAAGGAAGAGGGAAGGTAAATTAGCAGATAAAGTGAAATTCCTAGGATACACTATCGAAGGATATTTAATCTTGAACATAATGGAGGAAAGCTAGTAAAAAAAATCTGGAGTTCCTTCTCTGTGGAATTGTGTAGACTTTAATTTACCTGTGTGCAGATGACCTCCAATCCCAGCTTGCCCTACACGGTCTTTTTACTAGTTGTATCCAAACTTCTCCACAACTATTAGACACCTTCTTCACTCTCCTTCCACCCCCTCCCTTCCTCAGAAGAATATCACCTCCTTTACTGAACTCCCTAAACACCCCTGTCTCTAATTAATATCCCTATCAATGCACTGCTTACTTGCAGGTGCCTATTCATGGCAGAGCTTCTGATCCCATCCTCTCCCTTCTAGTCCAGGACTTTTCTCCATTTATCTCCACTCTACTGAACCTTCAACTTGTCCCTTTCCATCAGCTCTTTTCCCTCAAGCTAAAGACTCAATCAGGGGACTTCCCTGGTGGCACAGTGGTTAAGAATCTGCCTGCCAATGCAGGGGACACGGGTTCGAGCTCTGATCCAGGAAGATCCCACATGCCGTGGAGCAACTAAGCCCATGCGCCACAACTACTGAGCCTGTGTGCCACAACTACTGAAGCCCGTGTGCCTAGAGCCTGTGCTCCGCAACAAGAGAAGCCACTGCAGTGAGAAGCCTGCACATGGCAACGAAGAGTAGCCCCTGCTTGCCGCAACTAGAAAAAGCCTGCGTGCAGCAATGAGGACCCAATGCATCAATCAATCAATCAATAAAAAGAAAAGAAGGAAAACTAAAAAAATAAATAAAAGAAAAACTCAATCAGTCATCTTCTATCCTTAAAGAATTAAAAAACAAAAAATCTTGGCTCTCTTTCTAGCAATCCCCTCTCTTGGCCAAGTCCCTTTGAAAGAGAGCTCTACACTTGCTTTCTCCACTTCTTCATTTTCCATCTCTCCTACCACAGTGCATGTGGTTTCCCACTTTTTTACTGAGGTTGTTCTGGCAAAGCCATAGATGACCTCAGTATTGGAAGATTCAGTGAACTATCCTCAGTTCTCACCTTCCTGGATTTGTTGTGTCATCTCTCCTCCTTGGTCTCCTCTGAGTCTACTTGGGTGCAAGCCCCTTCACCGTGTACTACTCTTCTAGCACTACATGTTCTCCCAGGGTGATTGCAGCCTCCAAGTGTCTGTCTCCTGCTCTAACCTCTTTGCTAACGTTCATACTTTTATGTTTAATGGCCGGCAGACATTTCCTTCTGCTCCATCCTCCTACAGAAATTGCCCTCAGTCTCAGTTTTGTAGGGCAGGCTGAGAGTTAAACACCTGTCAGAGGTGTCATGACAGGCCTGTATGCCAGCCACATTGGAGGCACAGACAAAGGCACAGCCACTTATGCAGGGGACATGTTGCTGGAGGGACTATTCGAAAGGTTCCATGGAGACCATCTCCATGTTGTTCTGTCTTCCTTCTTTCCCTTTCTTGGCCTGTTTCCCTCATCTTTCAAAACTAAGATCCCCACTCCAGCAAAAATTTGTAAATGCAGGGCATTAAAGCTAGGGAACCATGTTTCTGTCTTATTTCACTTCTGTTGCCAAAGCTTATCCAAATCCATGTTTTTTTTGAAAAATGAAATGAGGCACCAAAACTACACTGGTGCTGCGCCCTGTGTGACCTCTAATGACATTTTAATGAAATCAGCTGCACAGAGTTCTAAAATAATTACAGCCTGGTCTACAGATGAAATCAAGCTTCACAGCCATGCACCTTGAAAAACACCTATTTAAAACTTTTAGTCAATTTAGAGTGTTTATTTAGTCACTGAGGATATTGAGGGCATGATAGGGTAGGTAACAGTGGATCATTTTAAAGACGGGGGTTTAGGGGTGGGGAGCGAGGAGGGGAAGCTCCGGGAAAGTTGCGTCCTCATCTTACTAACAGATTTATGCCACAAGTTCTTTAGAAATCAGTGATGCAAGTCTTGGATGATTTTCTTTCCTCATACAATCAATGTTATAAAACAGTTAATTTGTAAAAACTAATTTAAAAATAAAAGCTAACTATGCTTCAAAATATTCATCACTTATAATGCTCTTTCCATGGAAAACTTGTTGAATTGAAAGCCACACGCATCTCCTTGTCTCTGCTGCTAACAGATGTCCCCCATAGTTCTTGCATGCATGTTAGAAGTAAGCACTTTTGCTCACCTCCCCTCTCCACACTGTGCCAGCCCAGGGAACTTCCCTCTTAGTCTTTCCCCAGGGACAACAAAACCTCTTTGCCTCTCATTCTCAGCACAGCTGTGGCAGGGGCAGGGCCTCTGAGGTGGACAGAGGGCTTCTTGCAGGAAAGAGTCTTGAGGTGTCTGTGGCTCCAGCAGCCAAGAAGAGGAGGAAATAAATGACTTCGGGGCAGAAGTAACACACTAGAAAGAGAAATGGATGCTTAGAGTTGGAGCTAAATTTTTGTCTCACATGTGTCACTTATTATATGTGTGACTTTGGAGACTTGACCTCTCTGGACATCAGTTTCTTCCTATGTAAAAACATTTTTAAATGCTTGCCTTATTTGTTCATTCCACAAACATTTATGAAATTACTAAGTGTCAATCATTTGGGTGTTGAGTGTTTTAATCCTTCTTCTCTAGAGAAAGGGGCAGAAGGTGTCCTGCCCTGGTGTCCTGCTGGGCCAGAGTTGGAGAAGGGAGTCTCTTGGATGAATCAACAGGGATAGTTTTTCCTTCACCGAAATACCTTTTTTTTTTTTACTACTTGGATCTTTTATTCCCTTTTCTTAACCTGCCTAAAATCCTACAATGTAAACATTTATCTGAATTGACAATGATGCCAATTTCAACACAAAAACATTTGAGAGAAGAATCTTAGGCAATAGTTTCTGTCATTCCTACATTTGTGTGAATTAAATCAGAGTTCGTAATCTCAGTACCTAAACTGAGGTGCACTATAAGAAGCTTTGATGAAGGGAACAGAACGGGATCCTCATTTGGAGCACGGAACCCTTTGATGACAAAGCAAATCCCGTGGATTTCTGATATGTGGGCTTGAGGCCTCCAAGTCCAAGAGGGGGAAAGGATATGGGAAGGTAGAGGGAGAAAAAGAGCCATGACCGAGGTGGAAAGGGCTAAAATTAAACTGTTCCACTTTCAAAGTTTTGTCTAAGCTCTGGCCTGCATCCAAGAACGATATAATAGTCACCATAGGAAAATGTTTTTCAATTCCAAACACATTTACACAAATTTAAAATACATGCCTTTATCTCATTTGAAAAGACTAGATATGTTTCTTAAGTTGTATTCACTTATTTGTTTCAGGGTTTCCTCACTGCCTGCTGTCTCAAGGCACAGGTGCTGGAAATGCATGGATAATGAAGATACATCCAATGAACGAATAAATGTAATAACGTGGTATACATCTTATGGTGGAAAAGGAAGAGAGTGAAGGTGGTTGGGAAATGCCGTATTAAAGAAATGCCTTTGAACTAAGTATTGAAAAATGAGGAGCATGTTTTATGCCAGTGGGCAGAGTGTAGGGAGAGGTTGGAATTTCAGGCAGATGGAACTATAAAAGCAAAAGAATGAGAGAACACAGCACATGAGAAATCACAATGAGTACAACATGACTGGAGGGTAGGATAGGAAGTGGGAAGAGAGAAATCTGGAATATTACATGATTTTTATATAATTATCATATATAGACAATCATTTCTAGAAAAGCCAAAAATTCAGTTAAAAATGGAAAAAAATGAGCTAAATAGCTGATGTATAGTTAGCCTACATAGTGCTTTCAAATGTTCATCTGTTTTTAAAGATATTGAATGGTCACAATCATATGGCAGTTGCAGGTTTCAGGTGATTAAAGTATCAAAACCAAAATTTTAGTTTAAATATACAAATTTTCAAACTCAGTAATTTTGAATTTACATGGTTAAATATCTTATTTTAAACAGATAAAAACCATTCTATTTTCAACATATAAAAACATCTTACGAGCATATAAAAGCATTTAGTTCTTCATTTTATTATCTAAAACAATAGTTCCTAATACTTTTTAGAATGAAGACCCTTTTTCGAATATAAAGAAAAAGAAGATAAGACTTTGCACATGACAGTAGTTGTATTTTTGGTAACCACCAAAAGTACCTAATGGCATGATCTGCTCTGGCCTCAGCCACTGTGTGCAAGGAGTCTCTTGGACTACCCTGCATAGGCCATAGGGACTTTTTGACATTGCCTTTTCTCTGGGATGAGATGGGATTGATGGACAGTTGCTGGTGTTCTTGAGTGTATTTTAGTTTTCTGAATGTTCTCCTTACTGATTCACAAAAAGAGCCTGTTAATTAATTATGGCCTGGCAAAGAGAATGGAATTTCCCCTGATCTTGGCAGGTTCTAAAACATACTAACAGAATTAACACAACA